TCATAACGGTTGGCACGGCACGGGTTTTGGCCTTGGACCAAATTGATATATATATTTTTGGTAAAATAATATTTGAATTATAGTATTTTATTATTATTTAAAATAATATTTTATTTATTTATATTATTTATTTTTCCCGATTTTTCTGTATGCGACACGTGACTTCTTCTAGAATCTAGCGGTTGATAGTTAAACTGCCTGTCCAAATGTGTTATGTATGTTAAAGACACAACTTTTCGGTTATGTCTTTTCGACCCAACTTATTTTAGTCCTCCAATTTTAGATAGATAAAAAACATTAGAAAGTTCGTCGGATCTTGTAATTTGGAGTGCAATTATTACAAGTCGAGGTCGTTATATCTGCAGATACGAGTGCCGGAATACCGTTGGCATCTACGCGGGACATTATCGTCTTAAAGAGAAATAATCGAACTCTTGCCTCGACCATTATCATTTTATATCGTTTATTTTTGCTAGTCGTTATTATGCCCAAATTATTGCACAATAATATCATTATTTATCAACAAACTTCACAATGGAGGAAAGAAGAATAGCTTGACGCAATGCTAGAAGAAAGGCGAAAGCCTTTGAAAATATATTTTCCACCTGTTGCACAGTATTAATTAAAAGCATGGTAAACTTGATTATGATTACAATTCTGCACAAATAAAACTAAACGAGAAATACAATGAATGTAACTAAATGTACTGGTGTCTTTTTCCAAGTTTTTCGAATGCCTAAGCTGAGAGAATTGTTTGTGTAAATAGTGGGAAATTGGCTCAAATGGATGCTATTAGTGGAGCACTAAAGTTGGGCAATGAGTTGAATCTGGGATATGTAGTTGCTGGATTGAAATTGTAGTTGAAATTGAGCTGGGTAGTGGCCAGTGAGTTGAAATTGAACTGGGTAGTGGCCAGTGAGTTGAAATTGAACTGGGGTGTGAGTTGAAATTATAGTTGCTGACTTGCTATTGGTGAAATTGAATTGGGGATTGTTACTGGGATGAGTGGAGTGGGGATTATCTTCTCCTTTTGTCTGTAATTGAGTTCTTTTTTTTTGTTTAACCAAAGACATCCACGTATCCTTACTGAATTTTTATGCTCCATCAAGAAAGGTCAATGGGATTTTCCAACCATATATAAAATTCAGCCACTTTATTCTTCAACATTTCTAATAATAAAATATCTAATACATTAATTTTTTCGTAACATTTTTATAAGTTTGATTGTATCTCACTAACTTCATATGTATGCGTCCGTCACTATATGTCATTAACATGTTATGTTCATTTATTACAATTTTAGTACTTCTGATTATTCTAGTTGGAAAGAACCTCTCTTTCTTTAACAAGGACACTGGAAAAACTAGCGACTTCTGTTTCGTACGCCAAAAAAGTTCTCACATTTTGTTAAAATAGTTCGCTAAATGAGACCCCGGTTCGAGGGGCTTTTGCCTTTTAAATGGAAGGATGAGAAGGCCGACATATTATTTAAACTATACTTATTTTTATTCTTAAGCTCGAAATTAAGTGGAACATGTCGTTTGAAAGCTTATATATTAATGAAAAATAGAACGGAAAAAGCATTACCAACAATTTCTTTGTCTTTACTTTTGTCAGTTCACGTATTATTCTACATGTTTTAAAGGTGGAATTGTTTATGCATGGTAATTTCAAGCGACAGCACATTGTTCTGGTTAAGCTAATTTTAATTTCAGCTTTACAATTGATGATTCGGAATGAGCAGACATGATGCCATTTGTCTGATATAAATTAGAACCATGCTGCAATATCAGAAAAAATTCAACAGGGGAGATGACTGACCCTCACAAAGGGGTGGGGTCCACTTTTTTTGCAATTTTTTATTCATATGGGGTCGGCTCATGTGAGGGGCGGTCAGAGCCTCGGTCAGTTTTTTTGGGGGCAAGGAAGCTTTGTTCTTTTTTTTTTATTTTATTGAAGACTAGTTGTCTTTTCAACTTCAAAATTGACAATTTGATGGCAACTTTAATGAAATCCACTTACGCAAAGCCTAAGAAACTATAAGGCCGTTTGATAGGGGTTTAATTCCATGGAAATGAAAATGTAATTCTTTTTCCATCCAAAAGTCATGTTTGATGACCTAAATATTCCCTAAAAAATATTTTCTTGATTCCCCACCCACGCACCCAAATTTAAGGATTTAAGGGAATTCATTTTCCCACGGTTTTGGTAAAAAAAAATTTTATTTTTTTTTTAGCTATGAAAACAAATTTTATAACCAAATATAAAAAAAATTCACTTTAATAGACAATTTTCATATAAAACGAAGTCAAACGAACACTAATTTTTAATTAAAAAATGGTGAAAAAATAGTTTCCGAGCAATTTTTTTTTTTACTTACTTTTTGACAATGGTAACAAATTTCACAACCAATTGTAAAAAAAAAAAAAAATCATTTTAATAAACAATTTCCATGTAAAAAAAAGCCAAACGTGAAAAAAATCCAAATTTTCAAAATTTTTTCGAGTGGAAAATTATACCAATCAAACACATTTAATTACCAATTCCCTGAAAAACAAATTTTAGGCAACTACTTTTCCTGAAATTCATTTTCTTTCCACACATTTTCCACCCTTGCTATCAAACGGACTCTAAAAGTTAAAGGTCGAGAATGCAAATGCTAAAACACAGATTGGAAACCCTGTTTGCGAAAAATTGGTAAGTTGAGGACCTTCAACGCACATTTTATGTTTTTTTTTTTTTTTTAAATTCAATTATCATGTACTCATCTTGTTTATTAGCCTATTTGGGCCCATTAAAATCAAATTTTGGAAACAAAATGTAATTTAGAATAATCATTTTTTAAGAATTGTTAAAAAATTCTGATTTTTTTTTATATGTAATATGATTTTATTGAAAAATATGAAATTAAAAATAAGAATGTAAATGTATTTTTAAAATAATGAAACGGACTAGATAAGAAGCCAAATTATGATTTTATATTCAATATAATGTAAAAATAAAAAGGCAGGATTGATTAATCACGTGAACATTGATCAACGAAACACCAAAACATAGCCTAGGTTCTTGGTGTCACTGTCATGGAATCCTCATAACCAGTAAAAGACAAGATGACACTCTTAAATCCCTGATTGGTTAAGTAGAATGGAGAGCACGAATTTGTCCAAGGTTGAATGCAAAGAACTTATTCTCCATTTTTTTTCTAAGAGTCCGTTTGATTGTAAGAATGAAAAATAGGTAAAAAGAAAATAAATTTTAGAGAAAATAATTGTCTAAAACTTATTTTTCAGGGAATTGTTAATTAATTATGTTTGATTAATATAATTTTCCACCAAAAAAAATTTAAAATTTTGAATTTTTTTACTCACATTTGGTTTTATTTTGCAAGGAAATTGTTCATTAAAATGATTTTTTTTTAATTGGTTATGAAATTTGTTACCATTGCAAAAAGTCAAAAAAAAAAAAAAAAAGTTTG